CACGAGCACGGCGAACTCGTCGCCCCCCAACCGACCCACCCGCGCCGGCGGCGGAGCCAGCGCACGCAGGCGGCGGGCGAACTCCTGCAGCACGGCATTGCCCGCTTCGTGGCCGAAGGCATCGTTGATCGGCTTGAAGCGGTCCAGGTCGATAAACACCAGCGCGAAGCGCCGACCCTGGCGATGACTCTGCGCGCAGTGCCGGTTCAGCTGCGCGTAGAAGTACGCGCGGTTGTCCAGTTCGGTCATCTCGTCCACCTGGGCCAGGCGGTGGATGACGGCTTCGGTCTCCAGCCGTTGTGCCGTCTGCGCGATCAGCGCGCCGATGGTGGCCGAGACTTTGGGCAGCTGCGCCTCCGGCTGGCGCGTGAGGCTGCTGTAGAACTCGAGGACGCCCGGGCGGTGGTGCTCGCCGTTTTCGGACGCGTAGGTGACCGGGAATACATAACCCGACCAGAGGCCCGCACGCCTGCGCGCCGCCGCGGCGCAGGAAGCGCGGGTCGGTGCTCATGTCCTCCACCCACTCGGCCTCGCCGGTCTGCCACACCCGGCCGACGAGCCCTTCGCCGGCCGACAGGCTCAGCGCCGCACTGATGCGGCTGAAGGTCTCGAGCTCGCCGTCGGCCGCATGCCACGAGTGGCGACAGCGCAGCCGGCCGCTGCCATCGGTCTCCATGCCCCAGTACGCCCCCCATTCCCAGCCGAGGTTGCGGCAGATCAGCTGGATGACGTTGGTGATCGGCGTCCTTCGAGCGTGTGCGTGCCGACGAGGTATTCGGTCAGTGCATAGCCGAGGCGCTCGCGCACGGCGGCATGGGTGCTCGCCGTCACGTCCTGCAGCAGGCCGTGGCATGGGTGCGGTGAGCCGGGTTCCGGGGGCAGAGGCGTGACGCGCAGCCAGCGCATCTCGCCCGCCTTGCCCATGACCCGCACGTCCAGGAACGGCGCCTGCGTGCGGCCTTCCCACAGGGCCATGAGGGCGGGCAGGTCGTCCTGCAGCAGCGGTGCCAGGGCGGTGTCGAGATCGAGCGGCACCCCGGCGGGCGCGTCGAGGTAATCCG